AGAACGACGTAGATCAGCACCTCGTTTATCTTTATTTTGTATTTCAAGGTGGGATCTTTTGCGAAGTAGTCGATGATCCAACCTTGAAGGATTGGTACTATCACGCGTATTACGCTGCACTGAAAGCAGAAATGTTGAAATTTAATGATGCCATGGATTTGACTCTCTTGAAGCTGAGAAAGAGGAAGAGAAAGAGAGAGAAAGAAATTATACAATGTGTTAAATGAACCACGAGGTGAATCGGATGTCTTACTACATGTATATAAACGTCTTTAATGTAATCAATAAAATCGAAAGAATATACAATAAATATACAATAATTCGAAGAAGGGGTAGGTAATAAAGCACATGTTTACGTCCGTGTAAAATATTTTAAATAAAAGTTTAATGAATTAAAGTGACCTTTATAACATTTTAATTTTTGAAAATAACATATTTTTTACATCACTACCTTTACTCTTAATTATCAAAAATTCAAATTGTTATAAAGCGTACTTAAAACTGTAAAATTTTTATTTAACACTTTTCTTTCATATTTTTAACGGTTTAAATATTCACTCAAAAAGAAATAACTGATTTTCTTCAAAGAATGATTTTATCCTCTTAACTCATAAATAAATACGTGTCTTATTTCTTTATGTCTATATTTTAATATATTTATTATTAAAATTGAAGTGGAACACTTAATTGTGTTTATTTGTTGGATTAACAATTTTTTTCTTTTTTATTATTAGCGGAATCTAACGAAAGATTAACTTCTAACAAGAAAACAAATTTTTTCATTGTTCCTCTTTGTAGAAATATCTTCCAATGTTTCTTTTTAACATAAAGACTTGATCTAAATATCGTAAATATCAATGAGTATCATCTCAATATTAGTATATATCATAGTAACTCTCTTCTCAGAGTATCGATATACTTCGATAAAGGCGAAGATTCCGATTGCGAAATATGGTAACCAAAAGGCTTTGAAGATCGCCTTGTATAATCTGGGACGGGCGTCCTTCTTGAGCGGCACCTTCTGCCCGTCTTTGCCCACGATGTATTTCAGTTTATTTAGCTCACGGTTCCAGTATCTGAATAAAAGAAATAAATTAAGACTCTATTAGAAAAGCGGGGAGACTGATTTACAATTTAATTGCGACGAAGTTTACTCTTTTGCCATGTTCCGCTGCATTCCCATTTTTAAGACTAATGTAAAATTACGTTACCGCAAAAAAGAATAATTATCAAAATTTTAGATATTGTATATCTATAATATAAATTGCACTTGTATTTTAAAAATAATTATTAAGATTCGTTTATTATTCCGAGAACTGTAAAAGTGAGAGCCACAAAGATTATAATAGTGTTATAGTTATTTGTGTTGTCATTAATGTATGTTAATTTGTTATCAACGCTGGCGATACTTACTTCTCGAGATGATCAGTCAGTTTTTCGGATTCGTTTGCTTTAATTGGTCTATAAATATCAGATATTTCCAAATCACGCTTGGAGCCTGTTATAAATAAGTCTCGCATCCACCTGTGCGGATCGCAAATAATCGGTATATACTTCATATTAGTATACTTTATTATACTGCAGTATAAAAATCAGTTTGAAGCAACGATTTTTTTTTATTTCAACACCAACATTATTTCTTGACAATTACTTAACTCTAATGAAAATATCTCGTTTTTATAAACAATCATTGCGAATTTGATCAGAAGACAAGCAATACTTCTGCCTTCTAGCAATAAATTGAGGAAGCTACAAATCTATTGTTTTTAAAAAATATATATTATATAGAGCAAATGCGGTTAGACGCACTAGTGGGTCTGTTGTACACACAAATTGATGTAAAGATGTGTTTTTAATATAAATACAAAAAAGGGTTAAACCGTGAAATTCTTAATAGCATTATTTGGTACATAATGTATTAGGCATCAGTTGATAGGCAGCTATTTCACTTTTGCATTGAGATTAGAACAGTGTACAAAGGCATTGATGTACATAATGCATCCAATTGAATTCGCTATTAGTCTTTAAGGTCAATTACCTATTATTAACTAAAAAACTGTTAATTTTTGAGGTTGTATTATATCACAATACATTAATTTTACCTAAAATGACTCATTGACAGACATACGAGCAATCGATATGTAGAAGAAAAA